AAACGCTAGGCTTTCATTAGAAGAAAATCTCGTAATTACAATTTAGAGAACAACTAATAGCTAAAAAAGTCTAACTACTCAGTTGAATCTAATCGGAAGGATTAGCCCCATAAGTAAATAGTTCAAGATAACCTAGAACCAACCTAATAACATACTAGTGCTAATAACAACAACAAAAACTCTCAACATAGAATGACACAACTCCCAACAAGATAATACAAACAACTCCAAAACGGGAAACTGTTCACTAGCCTTACAACCAAGACAAAACAAAAGAACCACACCGATAATGGCCTATGACACCACAAAATTGAAAACAGCAAACCAAAGGCAACTACTACGATTTGACACCTTCAGAATACAAACCAAGGCAACAAACCCAAGCCAAAAAACCGAAAAACCAAACAAACAAAAGAGACAAAAGAAAGGAAACAAAGAGACCACTGAACATAGGGGCCTAGCCTCGATGAATTCTAACGCTCGAAACTATCTGTGCATCTCCTTAAATTCGATCCACTCACGCAAAGCCGATTGAACAGTCGACCTCTCCCACATCCATATCTGCTGAAAAACTCATAGGTTGCATGCTTTCTGGAGTCCCCACAGAATATACGTTGAGAGTTGAATGTGAGCTTATGAAACTGTAGAACGATCCAAATCAGCTATCCACCACCACCATCCTCTAAAGTCTTGGACTGCATCATCAAAGAAATTTCATGTGACAAGGGCTAATTTCCAAACAACCTCGGCTCTTTTACACTAAAAAAATAGGTGTCATACATTTTCGACTTGTTCCCCACATCACTGCAGACCCCATCCACCTCAACCCCTTTCTTTTCAAGTTCACCATCATGTAGAGTATCATCGAAACATTTCCACCAAAAATGTCTCAACTTGTTTTTCGCATTCAATCCCCAACACCTCAACCTTGTCTTCGTATCTCTATAAACAAAATAACTACTTTCCGGTCCATCAATATATAACACCTTCTTGATAATGGAAGTAAAAGAACATAAGGCTACATAATATTTACCTTTAGAGTCCTCAGTCCAAACCCACCTACCTATGGTCGTAGGATCCAAAGTCTGAATCCTCAAATAGCAGCACAAGGCTCAGGAGTGAATAAGTTGTGAATTAAGTCCTTGTTCCAGCCTCTAGCCCCATCAAGCAACAAATCACTCACCTAAGTTAGATGTTGTAAGGATAGCCAGGCACATAAAGAAGGAACGCCAATTTCCAAACCAGGAATCCTACGTTTAGAGAGAATTTTAATATTGAGTCCATCCTTAACTTCCTTCCACAGTTGTACAAAATACATTATCCGAGTTGATTAATATATTTCTTAATATAAATATAAAACAAATTTGAATACTTTGTATCTTTACAATATAAATAGAATAATATTTTTGTTTAGCAATTAGTTGATAGCAGATAGTTGATAAGTGACCATTAAATTGTATTAGTTGATTTGACTAATAGATTGAATTAACAGTTTTCCATAATTATATTTGGTAGATAAAGGAAATTTATAGTTGTTACGAAACGGAAATTTATAGTTGTTACGTTATATAACATTTTTTAATCTTCTCTTCGTATGCTACCACTTTTAGTTTTTTTTTTAAAAAAAAAAAAAAACTAATGTTTTTAGTCAAAAAAAAATAAAAAAACTAATCCAATAATATTTATTTACTAATTAAATTAATTAGAAATTTTAGTTGATCAAACCTTTAAATATGGTCTAATGCGTTACTTTAGCACAAATTGCTAACAAACAAAGGAGCCATTGGGTATTGTTCGATTATGACGGCGGAATTATGGGTGCTTTTCGGGGTCTTTTCTTGGCTTGGGACCTCGGCTTTTGGCAAGTTGAGGCAGAGGTGGATAACGCTAATGTTGTGCAATTTTCGGAGTCTTTAAAGGATGTACCGGGAGTGCATACATGATTAATCACGGG